AATCCCCCCATTGCACTTCATCTTGGCATGGTGGAGTAATGGAGACACAGGGGGACCAGCTGAGGCTGGCTTCTCAGGAAAGGCACTGATTACAATGGCTACTTTCTTCTTTGCTTGATTGCCTGCTGCCTTTAAAGGCAAAGCTGCACCAGCCCTGACCAAACCTTAGTTCCAGAAGTGGGTTCAGCATAGGTTGCTTCATTTCTGTCCATGGAAAAACCAGAAGGATTCTCATTCCCTCTTATTCCAAATGGGAGAACAAACAAAAGTAACCACTGAGGTGGTAGTCTCTGGGCTGGCAGAGGAAAACCGTTCTCTCCTTGGTACTCCCTATTGCCCAGGGAGAATGTGGCCTACACAGCTGCACTGTATCAGCATCCCCCAAGCAAACCAAAAAACGACACCAGGGATTCATGGCAGGGAAGTTAAGGTTGGGGCTAGGTTTGGGAGTGAAGAGCATTAGGAAAAGGGTCTGCCATACTGTGAGGCTCTGAGTACTCAGGAAGAGACAACATCACTGACACTACCTCCAGGAAACTTGTCTAGGGTGGAGTCAGAGAGGGCAGGTGTGGTCCACCGGTTTCTTCAAGAGGAGATGGAGGGCACTGAGAGCAGATGGTTTGTGGTCAGCTTAAAGGCAAAGAGAGTCTAAAATATTGAACTTAAAATTGTTTCAGGCAGTTTCACATTAAGAGCTACCTCATCCATTTGACATTTTGGGAAATACAGGTTATATAAAATAGAAGGCCATATCGGTGGGAAAATGTAAAGCCAAGTAAGCTTCAATTTAAAACACAGACATACTCAGTACTGCTTGACCAAAACTACAAAAAAACCAAACCAAACAACCTACCAAACCAATAAAACGCAACTCTGGAAAGAAGCTACTTCAGTAAAATCTTTTATAAACAAGTCAGGGTAAAAAAAATCTAGCTGTTGATGAAGCCCAGGAAAATCCCCCTGCCTAGAGGAGGACAGCAGGACTTGAAGGTCGACCAGCCTAGCCTGGAGACCATTATTCTATGGCACAAAAATAACAGGAATGAGGCATCAGCCAAGGACTCTGCTTACAGCACAGAACTCACAACTGTCACCCTTCACTATTCACACACAACAGGCTTCTTCCTACTAAGGATGAAGCAAAAGATTCACAATGATGTACTAGAAAATCACAACAGTTAACATTTACAATTAGACTCCTTCCCCGTGAATAGGGACTGCAAACCCAGACAGAGCTAGCCTGGCCACCGCCTCCCAACGAAAACGCCTTGGGAAAAGCCAAACGTGCTCACTGCTAAACAAAATTGTCAGCTAAAGGGAAAAGAAATCCCTTTTAAGGAAAGTAGCTTCAATAGGCTGCTTTTCTGCCAGGATTTTCAATCCCTTTGAACATAAGCCGAGCCACAGACTGCCACACGTATGTCTGGGTCCTGCTGTTTCTTCCCTCGCCCCTCCGCAGAGCTTCAGCACCAGTTGTTAGCCAAAAATAAACACCATTCCTCAACCATATATGTCCACTGGCAGGCCAGAACTGGGGAGGAGAGAAGGCAGGTCAGCCCGTCCCCTAGCTGCCGCACTCACATGTGGCCGCTGCTCACCATGCACATAACCCAGCTCAACCGGGAGTGCCTGCTGCACCTCTTCTCCTTCCTAGACAAGGACAGCAGGAAGAGCCTCGCCAGGACCTGCTCCCAGCTCCACGAGGTGTTTGAGGACCCCGCACTCTGGTCCCTGCTGCACTTCCGTTCCCTCACTGAACTCCAGAAGGACAACTTCCTCCTGGGCCCTGCTCTCCGCAGCCTCTCCATCTGCTGGCACTCCAGCCGTGTGCAGGTGTGCAGCATTGAGGACTGGCTCAAGAGTGCCTTCCAGAGGAGCATCTGCAGCCAGCACGAGAGCCTAGTCAATGATTTCCTCCTCCGGGTGTGCGACAGGTAGGCCACCTTGCCTCCTGAGCAGTGCTGGCCCCGCTAGCTCTGGCTTCCCTCTTGGTGGGGTGGGGGGGGGCAGACAAGAGCAAATTACGAGACCAAGATGGCTCCACCTTGGGGGTGCCTCAAACTAGGCCCAAGGCAGACACGGCCCACCCAAAACACGGTGCCCAGTAGACAGATACAATCCTGAGGGAAACCACTGCTAATCTTCTCAGCCTCACAGGTCCTGGAACTGCTTCATGCAAACACCAAGAAGTGGGGTCTCAGTTGTCCCTGCCCTTTGGGCAGCTGTCCTCCCTGGTAGTCATTAAGTGCTGGGTGGGTCCATCTCGGCCTGGATTTTCAAGGTCAGGCTCTGGGAAAAGGCTTCCAGATACAGCTATCAGCTCACCCCTCCATTAGGCCTAGCAAACAGCCCCCGAGGCCTGGGAAACACTGCAGAGGAAGGGGAGGCAGGGGAGCCAGGGTGCCCGGGTCAGCTTAGCCAAACCAGACTCCTGGAGAAGATGCATTACTGATTTAAACAGTACTCCTAGGGAGGGTGGCTTAGCCTAATTTTTCAAATTGGCAAACTGATGCTCCATGAGGTGGTGAGATTTGCCCACAGCCTAGAGTTGCCAGATTTTAGCAAATATATAGGCTATCCAGTTAAATATGATTTTCAGATAAACAATGAATTTTAAGTGTATGTCCCAAATACTTCTTGTATCTATCTGCTCACCCCACCCCAGACACAGACGCTGAACCACCAGGCCAGGATCCCTCCATCGTCCCAGCCTCATGGGTAGAGCCGCCCAGGCAAGAACAGAGGTACTCAACCAGCCTCTCACTGAGCTTCTGCCGGTCCTGTGCTGCCTTTGAGGAAAAACACCCCCTCGATCACTTAAACTGGGCCTGGCTGTTCATGGAAAACTAAGCTCAGCCAGTTTACTGCCACCCAAGTTCACAGCTGCTATTTGCTGGCAGCGCGACAGGAGTGGAAGGAAACAGCGTAGTGACCCCACCTTTCTTTTGAGCTGGTAGGAAGGAAACAGAAGATGGACTTGGGGCTGGGTCCTGGCTGGACAAGGCCATTTTGACAGGCTTAATAAGGCCCAGGAATCAGACTAGAGAGTGATATTGAGGGTGGGGGCGGGCGCATAGCAGAAGGAGTCCTGAAGTTGTTACATTCTTACTCTACGAGAACCGAGCTTCATGGCCCAAATCTGCGAGGTGTGGAGTGGACCTCCCAGGCCTCTGTACTGGTCACGCAAGGGACCCTGCTGTCACATAAAAAGCAAAGGGCTTTGCTATCACGGCTCTCTGCTGAGAGAGTGCGTCCAACCATGTGACCCCAGCTCCAATATCTAAACTCTTGCAACCTCATTTCTTCTGTAAAATGTGCTAAATTTTCCTCATCCCACAGGGTAAGAGGATTAAATGACACAGTGGCACGTGGCACATAGTAGGCACTGATGAACGTCTACTGAATCTGGTTCTTCTGGCACTCAGCTCAGGTTGGGAGGAATGGCTGAGGATAGCTGGGCAGGGGACAGTCGGCTTCCCCGTCCCCCCCCCCCCCCGCATCAGAATTATTCAAAAGTTCTTAGGTAAACGATCATCCAACACCTTTGAGGCTTAAACACCTAATCCTTATAACCACCTTGAAGGTAACAATTCCTCCCACTTGACAGATGAGGAAGAGGCACCCAGCAAGGTTCAGACATCTGTCCCGGGTCCGCAAATAAATCACAGGCCAGTCACTTGGGCTCCCTGGGCCAGCTGCCTCATGAACAAAACTGCGGGTGTAGAGGTTGAATGGGGTGAGGAACGAAGGCACATGAACCTGAAAGAGGCCTAGGCTCTGTGTGAAACGTGGCTGGGTCCAGCATATTTTAGTTCCTTACTTCCCAAGCCAGGCACCAAGGAGCTCAGCTGGCCCAGCGGGGGCAGTCGCAGAGCTGCAGAGGCGGCTGGCAGGGAAAGGGAAACACTTCCCCAGACCAGACTCCAGCTCCTTCTTGCTGCGGAGAGCCAAGCCCACTGGTCCCATGAGTCGGTCCTTCTGGACTGGAAGCGGCTGGTCCCGCGCATTATGACTGTGGAGGGTCCCCGCTGCAGGCTCCTCACAACCCCAACGGTAGACGTTATTCCCCCGACGCAGAGGAAAACAAGGTTCTGGGAGCGACTGACATGGCGACAAGCCAAGTCGAACTTTGCTCAAGATCTTTTCTCGTTGGGAGGGGCTGATGAGGCGGCAAAAGTGGGACCCCCAAGCTTTCTGGGCAAGCAACCTGTGTGTCCCTGACTGTACCTGCTCAGGGCCTGCCTCTAGCTGCCTCCGATTCCTGCCCTTTTCCAGGCTGGTGCCCCAGGGGAGGCAGGAACAGCTCTAGTCAACTAAGCTGAACCCGGAGTCAATGCTGACGCCTGCTCCCACCACCTCGAGGGTTGGGATGGTCCTGTCACTAAGCCATCTCCAAGGAACAAATCCCTCTTCCCGCTCACGTCCCGCCGGTACATTCAGGGGCCTCAACTTGAAGCTAGACTGGAGCAGTGGCCACGCACCGCTCCCCTGCGCCAGCATGTCCGGAGCTAAACAAAGAGACAAGGGCTGTGGCTCCTGAAACCGGCATTTCCCTCTGTCCACAGCCGCCCCAGGACTCTGCTGAGCCGGGGTCGGAGCTTTCCCACCAGGGGCTCCTCAGGCTACAAGCCACGAACCCACGTAGATGAAGGTACGCTGAGATGCAGGGGCAGAAAGAGCAGGGAAAATGGGCCGGCCAGAAAGCTGACTTGGAACCCTGCGAGTCGTCGCAGCCAAGTGTCTTCACTTCGCAGGCCCCGAGTCCTCGGTAAATAAATACGCCCGTCCCCCGGGGCGGTTGGGTGGCTTCAACGAGCCAGTGGACCCCGGGTCACCGCGCTTTCCCCACAGGTGCCCCAATCTGGCATCCGTCACTCTGTCGGGCTGCGGCCACGTCACCGACGACTGCCTGGCGCGCCTGCTTCGCTGCTGCCCACGCCTGCGTGCACTGCGCCTGGAGAACTGCGCGCGCGTCACCAACCGCACGCTAGCGGCCGTGGCGGCGGACGGGCGCGCGCTGCAGACGCTGCACGTGGACTTCTGCCGCAACGTGAGCGCGGCCGGCCTGCGCCGCCTGCGCGCCGCATGCCCGCGCCTGGCCCTGCGCGCCGAGCACAGCGCCGCCATGCTGCCCGACCAACCCCCGCGCCCGCGCGCGCCCGCCGCGACCCTCGGCAAGCTGCTGCAGCACTAGATACCGCCCCGCCGCGACCCCGGGGGGAGGAGCGCAGCCCCAGACATCCTGGTTTCGACCCCAGCTCTTCCACCTTCCAGACCAGCACCGCATCTTCTGAGCCTCAGTTTCCCCATCTGCACAGTGGGGACAACAATGCCTACCTCACGTTACGACTTTATACCCAGAGGAACGCAAGATTAAATGGATGTTTGGAAAAGACTCGGCTGGTTGTCACTCAACACCACCGCCTTTCCCCTCTCGCTTCCGCCCCAGCTTTGTGCGGTGCGCCCCCAACGACGGCGGGAGGTGCCTCGCCGTCCTCGGGGACTCTGCTCGCTATTGGGTGGAAATCACCTCGGTGGGGAGGGCTTCACCACTCAGAGCTCGCCCGCTGGCGCGCGGGGGTGAGAGGCCAGGGCTGCCGTCCGCAGGGTCCTCGACCCCACAGGGTCGAGGGGGGGCGGAGCGACCCCTCGAGACCCAGTGGCCTCCCGGAGTGTCCTGGGGACCGTCGCCTCCAAGGGCCACCGGTAGTGATCTCGGCGAAGCTGGAGGAGGGAAAGCCGGGTGCCCCTCCCTGCGGTTTGCCCGCGCGCGCGCCTGCCTGCTCGCCTTTGCTGGGGCAGATGAGTTCCCGGAGTGACCGCACTCGCTACTGTAGAAAATTATCTCCCAATTGTTGAATTCTTACGTAAACTGCACAGTTACCCATATTTTCTACTGTTCTCATCTCATAAGGGAAAAAAATGATTTGGAAAAACAAAAAACCTCAAACTAAATATTTAAATATTTAAAAACAAAAGCAGCAGCCTTGGCTAAGCTTTTGATAATGGAACCATTTTAAGCTGATGACAAGCTAGATTTTCACCTGTTGGATTTGCTGGATATGAGCACAAGCCTGGACTTCCCATTTCAATTTCAGGACTGTAGTGACTGACGTCCCACATTTAGTGAAGGCTCTCGCCTCCTGGCAGCCGCCTGGTCCTGAGTCCCTGCGGAGAATTCTGGGTGGGTGGAAGAGGCGGGGAGCAGTGTGGCGCTGCTCACGCTCCGGCTCCACCCAGCCCCAGCTGTGACCAAGCCCTTCACCCATCCGAGGCCAGGTGTGAAAGAGGAGCTTGATCCCTACTCACTGGTTTCTTAATTCATTGCTCAAACAGGGAAACAGCAAGGAAAAAGACAGATTCTGTTCTCATGAAGCTTACGTTCTAGCTGAGGGAGAGACAACAGGCAACTGGTATGCAAGAAGGTAGAAATTATGGAAAAAAGTGCAGGCTGTAAGGGGCTATCAGGAATTGCTGGCAAGAAACTGGGGGGTGGAGTGAAGCCTCTGAGAAAAGGTTGACCAATGTAAGCTTCATTGAGATGACATTTGAGACATGAAAGCCAGAGAGACAGGTAAGCAAGCCATGTGGAAGGAAGGCACTCCTGGCAGAGGAACCGTCAGTGCAGAGGCCGCGGACTACAGGTGTGGCTCGTGTTGGGGGAACAGCAAGGTGGTCAGAATGGCTGGAGCAGAGTGAATGAGGAGGGAAGCTGAGTAGCAGATACTCAGAGAAGCAATGTATCCTGCAGCTCAACTCCAAATGCATTTTAAACCTTTTTTTCCTTTCTCTTGAATTTCAAGATACAACCTTGAGGCAACTGCAAAAGCCGATCCTCAGCCTTAAAATAGACTCCATGTCCCTCCCTTTTCTCACTATATATGCCCCCTTTGCATTTATCTAACTGTATGCTACTATCTAATTATGTTACGTCTTAGAAGTTTCAGGGGCTAATCTTAAGTCTGGAGACCCAGCTGTAAACCTCCAAAAATTACTTCAAAATGGCTAATTAACCACCTGGCCATTGTTAAAATAACGTCAATCTGAGGTCCAGGTGGACTGAAACCCAAGATAGCCACCAGAACAAAACAGACATCATACTCAGCCCAGTTCTTGTACACCTTCCTTATCAAGTCTTTCCTTTTAAAACCCCTAAAAACTTCCCCCCTAAAAACTGAAGCAGTTACTTGAAAGAGCAATCCGACTACTTCCCCCTTTTCTAGCTTGGGTAATAAATTTGATTTTATTACCAGACCTCGCTCTTGTTAATTCAAGCATCTGCACCTGTTTTGTTCGGTTACAGTAAGGGATGGAGGTAGCAGTGAATGGACAGATTAATGTGAGGATGAAATGAAAGATGAAGGTTCCCCCTCAGCCCAACCTACCGCCAGCAAGAACCAGGACCCCATGCACAGATGGTAGGTGAAGTCCCAGGGCCACTGGATTTTTTTCCAGGCAGGACAGGTGAACAGGCAACCAGCACCCTGTCCTACCCCAATCCCTCTGGGGACTGCTGAAGGGCCCCTGGCTGGGGCAGTACTTACTACAGAAACAGGGAGTAAGCCCTGGCCAGAATAATCTCTTCTAACCCCTGTGTTGGGAGAGCCAGCTCTGTCACACTACTAGCTGCAGTGGAGTGGCAGGATCCTGCTACTAGCCTGTGAGACCCAGGCTGCTTCTGGGTGACTTCCCAGTTTGCCCACCACTGCTTTGTAATCTGGGGAGGCCTTGTTGGGAATGAATTTTTCTCCCATTACTCTGAACACTGTTGAAAGCAAGCTCAGGCTTCTAGAGGGTTGAATGTTTGTCTACAACAGAGCCACTTACACCCGAGGGCTTTGCTTTCATCATCTCCAATAAGCCCTAATTCCCAGCATGTCCTATTTGTCCTAAATTGGTGGCTTAGCCTGGAGAACAACAGGATCCTGGCTTCAGGATCTAACAGATCTGGGTTTCCATCCCATCTCCCTCACTTTAAAGCCCTGTGACCAGAGACAGAAGGCCCTCTCCAAACCTCAGTTTTCTTATCTGAGTACTAAGGATAACAAGGGAACCTTGCTTTGGGGGTTCTTGTAAGGATCGCTATTGACTATGTAAAGCAGAGGTCTCTGTAGGTTGAGCTAGAATGGGGTAATCTGCATTCCCTGAAGGCCTCCCTTTCCCATGGAAGCTCTTTTGTAGATGAGGGTTAAGTTCCCAGGTTAACCCTCCAATGCCCATTAACCCCCTTGCATCCCAAGGCATAGTGATCACAGAACTCAAGCAGGGCTCACAGCTGTGTCCACTGCTGTTTCTAGGGATACCAGCTGGCCCCTACCTAAGCCAGAGGAGCTTTGGGTTCTGAAAGTGATGGGTCATTTCAGGTGACCCAGAAGGTGGGCACTGATGGAGACACATGGCTCTCCACTCTATCTTCTAACAGTCACTGTTCACCATCACCAGGCATGAGCAAAGCACTTAACAGAGTGCAATACCTCCCTTAATCTAAAACACCACTTTTGTAGCTTCCAGAGAGCTACATGCATGGAGGTTCCTGGAGGGTGGCATGCCCAGGGAAGGAATGGAAGCTCTGTGCCCCTCCCCCATTAATTAAAAAGTAAAAGAACAAAAGAAAAACCCTTTCAGACTCAGGTTAGCATACAACAAAGGGTCCTGCAGGCTAAATTAATCCACCAACGAATTCATCTCACAAGCATTTACTGGGTATTGTGCATGCGTTGGGCCAGGTTCTACCTGATGAACTCAGCCCTAGTTGGAAGACACGCAGCTGAGCTTGAGGGGTGCTCTTGAGCAATCTCCAAGCTTTGCTGTCATAGCTTTTGACAAGATATGAAGCTCTCTGAGCTTCAGTTTATTTGTAAAATGGGACCAATACTCTCTCTGTGACATTGTTGTAAGATTATGTCTAAATATGCAGGGCCTGGAAGTCAGGGATAGGGGAATGTATCTTCATATCCATGGAGGGGCTAGAAAAGCTGAGAGCCTGGCACAACCCACAAGTCCCAGGCACTGGGAAGCAGTAAGCCAGGTCTATTTGTGGGTAAGCCAGGCATGCTTTGTGGCAGACAGAGCTTTTGGGCTGGGCCTGTGGGCTGACCCCAGTTCCCACAGGTTCCAACTCTAAGGAGGATGTTCCCAGTGGCAGGCATGGCACAGAAAAGGCAAACATCAAGAAGCCCAAGGCATATCCAGGGAAGGGTGAGCCAGGGTTGATGGGAGCCTGATTGTGTTCTCAAGCCACCCAGAGATGGCTTGGGATTATCTATGCCCTCACGGTTTCAGTTAGATCACAGATGCCCCTCAACTCTGGGAATCCTAACTTTTTCAAAGGTTTGGCCAAGGCAGCGAATGGTCACGTGCAGGAGGAATAGGTGGTTGGTAGAACCTCAGCGCTAGGGCAGGACACTGGCTGGAGGCTGGCCTGTTACCACGTTGCACTGCTCTGCACAGGAGCCCCAGTGCCAGCAGAGAGACAAGGGGCACAGGCCCTTAGGTCAGGAGGTGGTGCGCTGAGCCTTGTCTTGCAGGGACACACTGGCCTGTTTCTGCACAGGATGAGTGTTTGGAAGGGACATGACTGAGCGCCCCCTGGCGCTACCACGGCATGCTGACAGAAAGCAGACTCCCAGTTCTCGCCAGGGTGTACCTGTGATCCCGCTTTCCCTCTCCTGATCTTGGATTCTTGGTTTATACAGGCAGAGATCATCTGACCTCTTCGAGACTTTCCCTTCAGCTCTAGGATTCAATGCCTAAGATCTGCTTTTGGCTAAAACCCAAGCTCACCAGATGTAGGCTTCATCAGGCCAGAAGTCCTGGGCAAAGGCCATAAGGCTAGGAGGCCCAGAACAAAGCCATATTTTGAAAGATGTCTGGAGAAATCTTAAATTTTAAAAACTGACAGTCAAAGTTTTCTTGAGACTGCTTAAGGGTCTTAAAAACTGCAAGTATTTGTTAAGTGAATGAGGCCAGCGAACAAAAAACTGCCTAAGCCTCTCTAAGGGCTGAAAGTGAACCAAGGAAAGCTCCTGCATCAGGTCCATTGCAGCTCCTCAGATCAGGGACTTGTGCTTCCCCCTCTTCCAGATTTTTCAAAAAGTCAAGAGAGACGGGGCACAGTGGCTCACACCTGGAATCCCAGCACTTTGGGAGGTCAAGATGGAAGGACTGCTTGAGGCCAGGAGTTCCAGACCAGCCTGGGAAACACAGTGAGACCCTGTGTCTGCAAAAAAAAATGAATAGTCAGGACAATGAGGAAATAACAAGTTTCTGGCAAAGAAATAGTGTGTGTTATAAAACCACAGCACTGTGCCAATTCTTTTCACAGGGGCAAACCTGAACAGTTGTCTCTTAGCCCTGAGCCCAGGACCTGAAACCACAGTGCCAGCCTT